AAATCTGATACAATCCCTATCACAATCCCAATAACATTTTTTGATAGAAATAGAAAAACCCATTCCAAAATTCATATGGAGTATCAAGGGACCCTGACAAAAACAATCTTGAAAAAGTAAAAAACTGAAGGACTCACAACGTACTAGAAGCTATAGTAATCAAAACAGTGTGGTACTGCCATAAGGAGAAATATACAGACCAATGGAACAGAACAGAAAGCCCAGAAATAAGGCTTTGCATCTATGGTCAAATGATTTTTTATAAGGGTGCCAAGGCCATTCAATTGAGAAAGGACAGTCTTTTCAACAAATGGCGATAGAAAAATTGAATATCTATATGCAAAAGAATGAAGTCGGACGCTTACCTAACAACATATTCAAAAATTAACTCAAAACGATCGAAGAATTAAATGTAAACTTAAAATAGTAAAACTCTTAAAAGCTTCACAACATTGGATTTGCAAAGATTTCTTAGATATGACCCCAAAGTCACATGTCATAAAAAAATAAATTGGATTTCATGAAAATTTTTCAATTTTGTGCATCAAAGACACTATCGACAGAGTAAAAAGGCAAGTCAAAGGAGAAAATGTTTACAGATCATATATCCAATAAGGGATTCCTATCCAGAATATATAGAGAGAACTCCTGAAACAGAAATAAATAAAATATAAATAAAAAATGTGACTCAAAGTAGGCAAAAGATTTGAAATAAACACTTCTCCAATGATATAGAAATGACCAAATAAGCACTTGAAAAGATGCTCAACATCATTAATATTAGGGAAGTACAAATCAAAACCACAATGAGATTATCACCTCACACCCATTAGGATGACTATCAAAAGAAAGAAAGAAAGAACCAGAAAACAAGTATTGGCAAGGATGTGAAGAAAGTGGAACCCTTGTACAATGTTGGGAATATATGTGCAAGCCACTATGGAAGACAGCATGGCAGTTCCTCAAAAAACTAAAAATAGAATTGCTGTATGATCTAAGAATTCTACTTCTGGGTACATACATACTGAAAGAACTAAAAGCAGGGACTTGAAGAGGTATCTGTACACCCATGTTCTTTTTTTTTTTTTTTTAAAGATTTTATTTATTTATTTGACAGAGAGAGAGATCACAAGTAGGCAGAGAGGCAGGCAGAGAGAAAGGGGGAGACCCTGAGATCATGACCTGAGCCGAAGGCAGAGGCTTAACCCACTGAGCCACCTAGGCGCCCCTGTACACCCATGTTCTTGGCAGCATTATTCACAATAGCTAGAAGATGGAAACAACCCAGGTGTTCATCAACAGATGAATGGGTAAACAAATGTGATACGTACACATACACTGGAATATTATTCAGACTTAGAAAGGAAAGTTCTTTACTCAAAGAATACAGAAACACTAATTCAAAGGGATACATGTGCCCCTATGTTTATAGCAGCAATATTTATAATTGCCAAGATACAGAAGCAGCCCAAGTGTCCACTAATTAAAGAATGGATAAAGAAGATGTGGAATATATACACAATGGAATATTATTCATCCATTTAAAAGAATGAAATCTTGCCATTTGCAACCACATGGATGAAGCCAAAGAGTATGATGCTATAAGTGAAATCAGTCAGTCAGAAAAAGACAAATACCATATGATTTCACTCATACATAGAATTTAAGAAACAAATGAGCAAAGAGGAAAAGAGACAAACCAAGAAACAGACTCTTAATTACAGAGAACAAACTGATACCTACCAGAGGGGAGGTTCGGGGGATGGGTTAAACAGGTAAGTGCACTTGTGATGAGCACAGGGTAATAATTTACAGAAGTGTTGAATCACTATATCATTCCCCTGAAACTAATAAAACACTGTATGTTAACTAACTAGGATTAAAATAAAAACTTTTAAAAAAAATTTTTTAAAAAGAAAATTCTGACACATGCTGCAACATGGGTGAACCTTGAAAATATTATACTAAGTGAAGTAAGCCTGTCAGAAAAACACAAATACTGTGTGATTTTCTTTATATGTGATACTTAATATAGTCAAAATCAGTCACAGAGACAGAATGGTGGCTGCCAAGGACTAGGAGAAAGGGGGAATAGGGAGTTACTGTTTAATGGGTATAGATTTTCAGTTTTATAAGATGAAAAGAGTGATGTAGATGGATGGTGGTATGGTTGCACACTGTTACAAATGTATCTAAGACCACTGAACTGCACACTTAAAAATGGTTAAGGTGGTAAATTTTATGTGTATCCTACTATAATGGGGGGGGAAGCATATGTAGGAGCTAAATGTTAAATATGGCTTTTCCGTTATTAACCATGCATATGTAATAAACTCATTTATTCCCAGAACAGAAAAATACTTAAGGGGGGAAATTCTACAAGCTCTATGTCAAACTACATGTTTTCAATATCTAAAAGAACTCTTGACAATCAATTCCCAGAAGTGATAAACACAAGAAGATATACACAGGAGTGAAAGAGAAATTAACCAATGGCCAATATATGTGGGAAAAGTGTTCAAACACACTAGTAATCAAGGAATGAAAAATCAAACAAGACACCATTTTTTATCCTACCAAATTTAGTTTTAGAGCAAATGGAAATAAGGCATCTCAAAAAAAGGTCTAGGTTTTTCTAATCTGCACTCATTATCTTCACTTCCTCAAGCCCCAATCAATCATTCCAATCTGGTTTCCACCTCCCACTTCTAGAACTCTGGATACTACCAAAAACCAGGGGTGCCTGGCTGGCTCAGCTGATGGCGGGTGTGACTCTTGATCCCTGGGTTGTGAGTTCAAGCCCCACGCTGGGAGTAGAGATTACTTAAAAATTTTAAAATCTTCAAAAATAATAATAATAGTAATACAATGACAAAACTAACAACCTCCAAATCCAACTGAGTATCTCACCAAACTTCTCAGAAGCATGGATGGGCCAATTCTCTATCCTCTATGAACTTATTTTTCTTGGCTTCCATGACACCAGTCTTCTGGTTTTTTTCCCTACCTCAACTGGCTGTTTCTCCTGTCCTATGTTCTATCTTCTTCCAGTACTGACCTCAAAGCACCAATTTTCACCTATCTATACTTTTTCCCTTGATGATCTCATACAGTCCCAGACCTTTCGATATGTAATGAACTCCAAATTTTTATCTAATAGGTCTTGGTTATCTCTTCCATGAGTTCCAAACCTATACATCCAACTGCCTCCTCAATATACCAATTTCATAACTGATAGGCATCTCACATTTAATATACCCAAAAAGAACTAATTTTTCCCACCTCAAATTTCTCTTCCATTCTTCTTCATCTCAGTAAATGTCAAAATCTACTCATAGTAGCTCAAAACAAATACCAAAATGCAAAGAATTCTCAGGGCATCTGGCCGGCTCAGTCAATAAAACATGAAACTTCTGATCGCAGGGTCGTGAGTTCGAGCCCCATGTTAGGCACAAAGCTTAATTTTAAAAAATATATTAAAGGGTGCCTGAGTGGCTGAGTTGGTTAAACATCCAACTCTTGATTTCAGCTCAGGTCATGATCTCAGGGCCATGAGATGGAGCCCCACTTCAGCTCTTCGCTCAGCAGGAGTCTGCTGGAAGGAGTCTGCTGGAGATTCTCTCTCTCTCTCTCTCTCTCCCTCTGCACCCCCCTCTGCTCACTCAGTCTCTCTTTCTCTAAAATAAATAAATCATTAAATATATATATATATATATTTTTTTTTAAAGGCAAAGAATCCTCCCATCCCCTCACTAACCCACTCCCAAGTCTTGTTCATTGTACCTCCAAAGTATTTTTAAATCTTTGTACTTCATTTCTGCTGCCATGGACCTAGCCCACGGTACTGCAAACAGCATCCTAACTGATCTCCCAGCTCCCACTCTTGCCCTCTTCCTCCACACAGCAGTCAGATTATGCTACCTGCCTTCTTAAAACCTTCAAAGGATTCCTGTGAAAACTAAATTCCTAATCAGGGCATTAGCTGCTTCTATATTTGAAAGAACATACACACCAAAAACACACAATTTCTCCAGGCAGTAAAACTATGAATACTCCTCCTTATTTTGCTTGTCTAAAATTTTTAATTTTTCTATGATGAATACATGCTACCTGCTTATTAAGAAGAAAGGATATTGCTGAATACTGTATATTACATCGCATTTTTACACCCTAAGGAGAAAAGAGAATGAAAATTGTAGGTAAACTCTATAACTATTAGAAGCGTTGATGAAAATTCTAGCAAACACATATAAACAATCTAAAAATGAGGTGTCAAGAGCTGTGAGATTATGTTATTTTCCTCTTTTACTTTCTAGTTTTTAACCTAATTACACTCATGATAGAAAAAAAGGTTACGATATAAACCTCATTCACTGTCTTCTGCAATCTGGCCACAACCCACCAAACCAGCCTTTCTTCCAAGTACTCACTTTCCCAAGCTTTCTACTCTAACCCCGCACCGTGTCACACCTCTGGGGCTTTAACTCCGGCATATCCCTGGAATATCCTCCAACCTTTCTAAATCCCACTCATCCTTCGCGAGGGAGGAGGACAGTAAGGATGGCGACAGGTTGGAGGAAGATTCCACGGTTCTTGTCAGTAAACCCACAACTTGCCTGTGTTGGAGCCAAATCTCGTCTCCAATCCCATCCCAGGCCACCAAGCTTAACATCCTGACAGCTCCAGCCACTGGGGTTCAAGGGACCCCCCCCATCCCCTCAGGGAGCGCTGCGCCCCTTAGAAGGACCCTCCAACACACCCAGATTCCAGGCTCCCGCTTCGGAGACTCCCCCTACAGACACACTCACACCGGAACCAGCCTCCCCCTCCCGGTCCTCTGCTCTCTGCAATCACCGGGTCCCTCCCTCCGCTCCGCCGGGGCCGCGCGGCCGGCAGGGTGGGGGAGGGGAGCGCACGTGCCCGCGCCGCCCCCGCCCAGACAATGCCCCGAAGAGCGGAGCGCGCGCCCGGCCCGTCCGCCCGCTCCCGCCAACACTCACCCCTTCTCCGGTCTCCAGCCGAAGCGCAGGGCCCGCTGGGCGCGGCAAGAGGTCACGAGGGAGGTGCGGGAGCGGGCGAAGCCCCGCGGAGCCGCCCCACCACGAGGCCCCAGCAACCCCGGAGCCCGCGGAAGCACACGACTCGGCAGAGCCCGCCCGTCCCTTTCGGCCCCGCACGTCAGCAGCAGGGGCGGGGCGGGACGCGCGCGGCGGCGGCGGTGGCGCGCGCGGCCCCAAGGGCGGGACTTGCAGGGATGTGGGCGGGGCCAGGGCTCCAGCCGGTGCTGGGGCGCGCGCCAGGCTGGAGCTGGGGTTGGCGGTGGCCCAGACTCTGATCCCGGCCTGTGCTGCCGCACTGCCTGGGGAGTATGGATGTCGGTTCTGGCAAAGGCACCGTTCTTTATCATTTCCTCAGTAGAAATGGCGAGTTCCAGCCTCAAGTTTGACAGAATATTCATCCTGCCGGCAAATATGAAGCTTCTACAGTAATAACAACAGTAGTTAAAATTTGTGTGTTTATCATCTTGAGCCAAGCTTTGTGTTAGGTGCTAGGGATACATAAAACAATAGTTATTACTAACCTGTTATACAGATGCAGAAATTGAGGCTCCGAAAGGTTGGGACTTAACTAGTTTATACAACTAGCGAATGGCAATCCATCATATCCAATTTACCTCCTAAGTATATATATATTTTTTAAGATTTTTATTTATTTTTGAGAGAGAGAGAGAGAGAGAGAGAGAGATTGAGAATGAATGAGCCAGGAGGGACAGAGGGAGAAGCAGACTCCTGCTGAGCAGGGAGCCTGCTCAGAACTCCATCTGAAGACCCTGGGATCATGACCTGAGCCGAAGGCAGATGTTTAACCAACTGAGCCACCCAGGCGCCCTGCTCCGAAGTATCTTTTGAGCCCACCTTTTCCTTTCTTTCTTCCTACAATACAGCTACTACTGTAGCTCTCCAGTGATGTTTCTGTCACCCTTCACTCTGTTCAACTCACTACGTAAAGATTTACCAGAATGCCTGGGTGGCTCAGCCAGTTAAGTATCTGCCTTTGGCTCAGCTGGTGATCCCAGAGTCTTACAATCAAGCCCCACATGGAGCCCCACATAGGGCTCAGAGGGGAGTCTGCTTCCCCCTCTGCATGTTGCTTCTCCTGCTTGTGCATCCCATGCTCTCTCTCTATGACAAATAAATAAAATCTTAAAAAAAAAAAAAAGATTAACCACTGGAGCTGAGTAGTAGGTTTAGAGAGAGTTCACTGTATAACTTTGTATGCTTTACAAATGTTATCAAATTTTGGGATGTATTCAATGTCTAATAAAAATGTTTTAAAGAATTTACTCCTTTATCTCCAACAGCAAGCCCCGTACACTGCACAGAGTGCACTCAAAAAGCATTTGTTGGGGGCACCTAGGTGGCACAGTCGATTGAGCCTCCTACTCTTGATTTCCACTCAGGTCCTGATCTCACAGTGGTGGGATGGAACCTGTCCTCAGGCTCTGCACAGCAAGGAATCTGCTTGAGATTCTCTTTCCCCCTCTCCCTATGCTCCCCCGCCCTAGACACACACCTGCATTCTCTCTCTCTCTCTCTCAATAATAAATAAATAATCTTAAAAAAAAAGTTTTGTTGAATGAATGAAGAGTAGGGCCAGGAATTGACTCCAAAGCTCTGCATGATAAGGGAATTATCAAGGGTTTGTAATACATCACCCCTGGCCCCCTGATCTTAAGGTATATTACAGGTAAAGATCTTAAGGTATATTACAGGTAAAGACAGATAAATAATATTTATTCAGCAAATTTTTATTGAGTTTCTATTCTTTGTTCTGGCACTGTGTGCCAAGCACTGTGTAACACACTGGGGATCAGAAAAGAACAAAACAGTTCCTGCCCTTGTGAAATTTATAGACAATGTGATCTGAAAGGCGAGGAAAGTCCTCCCTGATCCTGAAGCTAAGACCCAAAGACAGAATAGGAACTGGAGAGGTAAAAAAATAAATTTCATGGAGAAAGAGGGAGGATAAGAGATTAATCAGCATGAGTGTGTCAGTGTTCCCCTGCTTTTGACATCTAACCCTGAGGTAGAGATTGCTTTAAGGCAAACAGGCTTGAGCAATGGAATGAAGGGCCCATAGCAACCACGTGGCTGAGTACAGACATGCCCATCAGGCAACGCAGCTCAAAATATTCATAGGCCCTAACTAACCAGTGGGCTCCTTACAACCAGGCACAGTACCAAAAAAGGGAAAATTCCATACATGGCCATACCTCCTCACCATCCCCCTTTAAAAACAGCCCCCTCCCATGGCAGAGAGCCTCTTCTTTGCTGTCCCACCTGCTGCTGCCTTGCAGTGTTTTCAATAAACTTCTAGTGCCTTTGTTCTGCCTCAGGTGAATCCTTTCACTGCCCATACCACCTGATCATCACCCCACATTTGGCGATCCCCAATCCAATCGGACACCACATGTAGATACCACATAGAAGTGTCTGGCTAATTGGGCATAGGGGTGGGGCTAGAAACCCACTTCTTCTAGTCCAGCTTGGTTGGCTTCCCAATTCTGGCAGATAGGTCACATTAAGCAGGGCTCAGACGCAGAGAGTGACTTGGGGAGAGAGAGGCTGCTGCTGCTAGTTGTCCTCAACTTACAGATGGTGTGCCAGAAACACAGACCACTCTGTATGCTCCCTGCCAGGCAAAGTAGCATGGCTGAGAGCCATGAATGAGACAATGGATATTGTGCCAAAGACCAGGTGATCCTAAACCAGGGGTAGTGGTGGACCGATTGGCAGGGGATGGCTGGAGAATGTGAGTAAGACCCCAAGGATGAACAGAGCAGAAGCCCCCAGCAAGAGCTAAAGTGCTCCCAGGTCAGCTGGTGAGAGGAGTAGGGATGGAGGGATGGGAGTGAGTGAGATTCAGACATTTGAATATCAAGGTGCTGAAGCAACAGATCATCAGTTTGCCAGGCAACAGCCTTTGCAGCTGATGCCAGCAGGGCTGTGGTGACCAGAATGACTAGGGAGCAGAAGCCATTGAGGACCCAGACTACATCACACAGCTGTGCACACAGGTCTGGGACCCCTCTGGCCACTGTCTCGAAGCTTCCCTTTGATCCCACAGGCCATCTTGGGAAGTCAAGGTGGGGAAAGGAAAGTTCTAGCAGGACTGAAACTTGAAACTGACTGAATGTTTACCCCAAATGAGACCTTTCAAGACCAGATAACTTTAATTGTCAAGCTTAAGTTTAGCCCAGCCCCTGAGAGCAGTGAGAGCCTCTGAAAAAGTTTGCGCCATTTAATGAAGTATAACATGGCTACAGATTTTTACACATATGCACACAGTGTGCACATTTCCATAGCAGAGATAAGCTCTATTAAGGAACTGGGCAAAGTAAAGACAGCCCAGTACAGGGAGAGCACATTTAATATGCAGGTGGAAAAGACCTCCCAAGAAACACATTAAGTGAAACCTGAAGGCAATAGAAACCATTGGGGCATGATAATACCTAAGGCAATGTGAGAAGGAAAGAGCAGAGTGGCTGGAGCTGAGGGTGGGAGCAAGATCACACAGGAGGTGGTGTTAAGACTTTGATCTTTGCCATAAGAACAACAGGAAGTCATGAGAGGGCTTTAAGCAGGGGTACCATGTATATTATTTGCCCTTCTAAAAAGATTGCTTACCTTGGTGAATGGGTGGGGAATGACTGGAGGGGTGTGTGAACAAAGCAGCAACTAGACAGTTGGAAAGCCGTCTGACTCTCCTGGATGAAAAATGAGGATAGCTTACCCTGAACAGTAGAGACAGAGTGAAGTAGACAGATTTAAGAATTCTGGAGAAAATACAAGAGACTTGGTAATGAGCTGGGAGGAGCCTGACCCTGCTAAGTCAAACGCATATAGACAAAGCCCTCTTCCTTCCAGCAGACACAGCCCTGCACAGCTGGAGGTTGGATTTCAGGCCCCTCCTTACCCAGGCTTCCTCAGCCAGCATTCATCGGCACAACACACAACCAGGGGAGGTAGGCCTGGGAGGAGAAGATTGGGTGGGAGAAGAACTGAGGCCGCCCCCCACCCCTGCAAGTTTCTGGCATTGGTGAATGGGGAAGAGTGGTGCCATTTCCTAAGGTGGGAGGAGAGCCTGAAGGAAGAACAGATTTTGTGTGTTGGGACTTGGGTGAATCGAAAATTCCCTTTGGGACAATTTTAAGTATGAGGCATCCATCAGAAGAGCTGAAACAGGCATCTGTCCACACGACCCTGGGGAACCTGGTGGGTGGCATTGTCAACGCGCTTTGAGCAGGCAGTTGGTGGGAGCTGGCGAGATAGCAGTGAATGACAGTACAGTTCGGAGAGGTTGTGTAGCCACAGCCTCCGATATCACACCTTGCTTTAGACAAGCCAACACTCCACCCAGGGGCACCTGGGTGGCTCAGTGGGCTAAGCATTCACTTTTGGTTTTGGCTTAGGTCAGGATCTCAGGGCCATGAGATGGAGCTCTGCATCAGGCTCCACGCTGGACGTGGAGTCTGCTTGAGATTCTCTCCCACTCCCTCTGCCCCTCCTCCTGCCAGTTTATGCATTCGCTCTCTCAAATAAAATAAAATCTTTTTAAAAAAAGCCAACACTCCAAACATTGAGAAATATCACATAATAATCTGGATTTCTCCTTCTATGAAAAATCAGAAGCTCTGGTAACCTGGACCCACCTTGCTATAATTAGATATTGGGTAACACCAGGTACCTATTAGGCAGTGTTCCAAGCACTTCACAAATTTAATCTAAATAACAACTTTTTCCTTCTTCTCTACTTTGTGGAAGAGAAAATGGAAGCACAGAAAGTTTGAGTCACTTGTCAAACCGCTAAGAAGTGGTGGAGGTGGCCACACAGCCAGGCCCTGTGGCACTAGGGTGTTAGCCACTACACCCCCCAGGCATACCATTTAGAGAAGCCCTATTGGCTGCAGTGGATGGCCCTGCCCCCTCCCCGTGTCTTGGCATGGGATGGGGGGCATTCTATACAGAAGGCAGTTGCCATCTACTGTTTTACTCCAGATGCTGTTTTTCGACATTAGAGAATTATTACTCTATACCAAGTAGAAAATTAAAAATAT